TACACCATTGTTTCTGTGATCTTCCCATAATGCACCTGAACCTAATCATGACAAAACATTAGACAACCCTGCACTGAGGGGCATTTACTGAAGACGACCAAGGAGGCATGCTAACTGCACACAGTGCTCAGTTCTGGAAGCATAAAGGACAGCATTGGGACAATCTGTGAAACTTGAGTGGGGATCTTTGGATTAGAAAATAGTATGGTAACAATGTTAATTTCCTGATTTTGATGCGATGTTTGTGGTTATGTAAGGAATGTTCTTATATTAAGGAGATACACATTGAGGTATTTAGAGGTCATGGAACATTACACCTTTGCAAGTAAATTTCAAATGCTCAAGAAAAAATAATATATGTACATAAATATATATATAGAGAGAGAAAGATGGAAAATATGGTGGAATAATAACAACTGATAAATCTGAGGAAAGGTATTTAGGATTTCTCTATACTATTCTTGAAACTGAAAATTTTCAGTAGGTTTAAAATTATTTCAAAATAAAAATTAACCCCCCAAAAGTATATGATATAATTGAACACCAACAAAAATAAACAAATAATACATCTATGAAGAGAGAGAAAGAGAGGCAAAAACAGAAAAGGAGAAGGGGAAAAAGAGAAAGGGGTATAATTTGAGACATTTTTCTTTGCTTATGTGCATAGTTTTGTGGCTATTTTTAAAAAATGAGATCACACTATACAACCTCTTCTGCAACTTGTTTCTTTCAGTTAATATATATCTTAGTGACCTTCCCACATCAGTAAAGATAAATCTACTTCAATCTTTTAATTGTTGCATAGAATTGCTTTATTTTTATATTTTTTCAATTTTAAACCAAATCCTCATTTGACAATATTTAAGTTGCTACCTAATATTCATTAAACCACCTATTTTCTTTGTTAACTTTTACTACTAGATAAGATCATGTACTTAAAGTCAGCGTGTGAATGACTATGTAATGTCATAGGAGAAAAATATCCTCAGACTTGGGTTACCAAAGGATTCCAAAGTAATAATAAATTCAAGGTAAAGTTTATGCCAATGAACAAAATTATTAAGACCTTTCAATGGGGCCTGAATTTCCCATGTGCCTACTGGCAGCGCAACTAGCAAATTTTCAAGGTGTCTTGTTGCTTTCTAACAGTCTATTCTCTTTCGAAACTCTGTTTTATTTTAATTTAGGAGGACTCTTTGTAAGCCTACTTAGGAACGAGCATTGCAATTTCTTTTCTTGTCCCACAATCATGAAAGTTTTAGAAAAGGCATGCTCATGTGAAATTATTCAGTCATATTCATAATCAGCAACAGCATAGTCAGAGGAAACCATTTTGTCTGTGGTGTTTGTTGCTAAACAAGAGTTTCTCCCTGATAAACTCCTTGGGAATAACCAAGTGTGTGCATACATGTCCTTATCCTGTAATTAAAGGGGGAAGTGGCAGCAGCATCCATGAAAGAACATGAGCTTCCCAAAGCAGAAGGGACTGGGTCAGAAGTAATTACGGTACCATCATTCTGCCAACATACCAGGGCGATGGTAAGCATAGTAGGTGCAGGGCTTTGGCCAGGGCAAGCATCCAAAGCACTGGGCATTTCTCTTGCAAAACGGACCTCCCAGTCACCTAGGAATCACTAGAAGTACAAGGCATGATTTATGTGTATGCATAAGGGGAGCTTGTTTGTGGTTATATTTGTGAGGCTTTTGAGTTTATACATTAAGGCCAATAAAGCTAAAAGAAAGGTTATCCTAGGAGTCCTTCCTGCCTGTTTCCAATTTCTTAGGAAGGGACACACTCCTCAAAGAGCCAAGATCTTAGGAATGAAAAGTTTATAAACACCACCATCCCAGTCATCCCTCAACTCAAACTGCACGTGATGGTCACTTTAAAAACATTAAATCATCAAATCATCCTCATCCTGACAGCTGGGGAAAAAAGCATTTGAGTGATTATTTAAAGCTTTAAGTGACTTTTCCTTTTTAAGGTAGTATTTACTCATGAAGGCGTACATTTGAATTCAAGGCTCATGTAGGCTTTTAGCCAAAGCACATCTATAGATATTCCTTGACCTTCCCAAACACTATATACATATTTCCCCTCCCTCCAGAAAGGAAATGTATAATTTAGACGGTGTTCCAATAGGTATAGGTTTGGTGAAAATAATTGATACTACTATGAAAACAGGGGGAAAAAGTCAACCCCTACATTGTTTCACAATTTAAACAACTGAAAAGCAACTCTTCAAAATAGAACAATAGAGTATGACATTATGTTATCTTTTTTGCCTCATAGAAAAAGAAAAATACATGGAAAAATTACTGACAGTCACACTAGTTCAAATAAAGCACAACTGACAAAGTGCTTCCTTTCAGATTGCCGAGTTTCAAGAGTTTTAATAGGCATTCTACAGACATGCTGATCAATAAATTTCCCAGGTGTCTCCAGAGAACTGATAGATGTGGCTGCAATAAAAAGATCCATGAACATACTCATCATACTTGTTGGACAAGACAGTTGACCTCAATTCTCCTGCATCTCACATGACACAATAACTTTTAATCTTATGCATGGACATGCATAAGATTAAAGAATGCTCCAGAAATATTGAGTCATCTCAAATAAGAGACCCTGCTACTAATCACAGGTGCCATTTGAGAACACATTATATTCATTATTTATCTAATGCCAATCACCTGAGGTCATTTTTATTTGACTGTTTTTTTCAATCCCTTTAGAAACTGAGAGGCACAAGGTGTAAGTGTGCCGGCTTCCCCAAATCACTTTGAAGTCCTAGTTTCCAAACCATCAATCTCTCTCACCCCTGAATCTGTCAGCCTAAAAATTACATCCGATCTAGGAGTCAGGTGACCTGAATTCATCTCTGGGCCTTGGTATCACCTCTGCCTCACTTCTTCATCTACACAATGGCCCGTACTCACCAAGCCTTTGTGCGGAATGCTGTGACAATAAATGAAATCTCTAAAAGTGCCACTCAGATTAAACTAATATTTATCAAGGTATCTACCCTGAGACAGGCACTCTGTTACATATTTTACTTACAGTCTTACCATTTAATCTTCGCAATAACTCAACTAGGAAAGCATTATTAACCACATTCTAAGATGAAAAACCGAGGGGCAAAAAGCTGAATGACTCTTCTCAGATAGCACAATTATTCACAGGCAGTCCTGGGACGCCAATTCCAATTCAGCTGTCTTGCTGTCTTACAATTTATGCTTCTATTTTTGTATATTCTAGATGGTATTATAGTAATAAGATTTTCCAATAGAATGAAACTTCTGGCAACTACCAATAAGCTGTATTAGAGAAAGTAAAGAGGACTAAAGGTCATTTGCAAGTGGGTCTCAACCAGGCTTTTGAGCAATTACAGCCTAAGGTGCTGTGACTAAACTTTCTGGGAAGACAAAAATATACACATATGAATATAATCTGGAAAGGAAAAAAACTCCAGACTCCTTTCTGAAAGAAACAAAGAACATATTAATTTAGGACTGAGGATCAGCAGAAATATATAAGAAGTGAATATTTGGCTGGCAGTGGAAGACCGACTCAGAAATGAGGAGAGCCCCTAAATTCCTGGGATACACACACATTCTTAGATGATATATATCAGGTGAGCAAGTTCACTGCCTGCTAAAAATTGCACAGCCCAAGATCCCTCAGAACGTACTTAAAGCTGCTCTGTCACTAAGGCGCCAACATTTGATCTGTTCTTTCCAAAATAGGCTTTAAAAAATTCAAAAGGAAAAAGAGAAAGAGCCGTGTAAACAACATCTCCTGCAGCTCCTGTGAAGACTGCAGCTAGAGTGAATATCAGACAGTTGGTGGCAAAGGCTGAACAGACTTTCGAGCTGATGAGAGAAAAGTCTCCAGGGTGGTGGTTGCAGAAAAGAGGAGCAGCTTCTCCTTTCTGCTGCTTGGTTATCGTGACCTGAAGAGGAGAAACCACAGCTGGCCCCCCTGTTTGAAAGGAAGACAGCTTGGTGAGCATGTTTCCTTGGTGGGTATTTATGGCTTACCCTGCACTGTACTCTGGGGAGGCATGTGGCCAAAGAAAGAAGCAAGGCACCTACAGTCCTAATTTTCTGAGGCCCCCCAGCTGCTCTTCAACTTCTTTCTGAGGAGAAAAAAGATCTGTCTGTGGGAGACCAGTCCATGGGAGTAGGAGGTTCTATCCAAGAAGGACCAAAGTCTTAATTCAATGATTAATAACACCAAAACTGGAGTCCCCACAAAATTACAGTGCCGCAGTCTCTCATCCAAGATTCAGAAATCCAAAAGCTCTGAAAATAAAAGGTTCGTTTTTGTGGTTCATTTGACAAGCAAAGCCTGACCTGACTTCTTCCGGTGACAAAAGCAGATCTGGATTTATGGGAGGGTGTAACAGGGTGCTGCCCCCGAGCTCCTAGGGGTTAGTGAAATCTTTACTAGATGCACCATAGTATCTTTCCATGATCTGAAGACAAAATTATGAATTCCAAGAATTCATAGCTCCAAGTGTTTTGGCTATGGACTATGGACCTCTACTCCACTTCCTTATGTGTTCTTTTTCTTTCTTTTGTTCTAAATGCCAGTTAATCCATCTCTCACACAGTATAATTCAACTAATCCACAGTATCTTAATTAACAGGCATACGTTCACAGGAAACCCACAACTTGCCAGACCAGGCTGCAAGGTCAACCACCAAACTTTGGAAGAGCCAAACTGCACAGGCTGAGCTTTGCGCACCGAGAAAACAGCACCACCGGCAAGTTGCTGAGAGAAGCCGGTATATGGAAGACGCCTAGGACAGCCTCACAGGGCAATCGCCACTGAAGCTGTAGAAATACTGACTTTTTTTCCTTTAAAATATGAATAAATTTTTTATTTTTTATTATTGTTCAATACTGCCTTAAAACTGATCCACTTTTCAGATAGCTAACAACCTTATCTCTGTCAACTACCACATTTAAAAGTTTAATTTATCAGTCTCACACACCAAAATTTTAATTTAAATCCTGGTGAGTTTTAGAAATTCAACACCATGGGTGCCTGCACAATCCCAAATTCTCAAAATTTTGCCAGTGAAAAGCACACAGAAGACATAATACTACATACTACTCATTCTATTTTCATTTCTCTCTTGGTGGAATTATTTTATTTCAAGCACACTGTAAAAGAGTGGACACCTGACAATCACTTCTTCCAAATGACAGGCAGTGGATAAACTTGGACATGTGCTTAGAAAAGTCACTTATCAAGAACTGCTCGAACCCACAGAGGGGGGCCTCTGGATCACAAAATGCTCTGCTGGTTTTAAGGATCTGATAGTCAAATATTTTCTTGTCCTATATGCCAAGCTGGTTTGTTTTAAATTTAACACTCTTCAGTAGAATACAGATATCCACACTCAGATAAAAACCACAAGTTTTAAGCTGTGCTCTAAATGTTCTATCTAGTCTCCCATGTGTATTTAGGAAGCAGAGTAAAGAGCCAACTGCTTGACATTGTAGAAATCCAGAGTAGATCGGGAAGGACGTCTGCCCAGACCACTACTGTTTAAATGAAAGTTTCGCCCAGAGCTTTGTCCCTTCTGTCAGAATGTCTGACTTCTAAACCATGTGTGCTTATGCATTTGGGGTTAAGATACAACAACAACAAAAAAGCATACACACATGACAAAGAGAAAGATTTAAAATGAAAATGAAATAGAAAAACGGTAGCTACTTCTTGACAAACCAAAAATGAAGAAAAGACCTAACTGCTTACATTTATGAATGAAGCAAATAGCAAGGAGGGGAAAGAGTTATTTAGGGTATAGCAACCAGAAATTACAACTAAGATTCGTGGGAAAGAAAAATTGGTACCATGTAACAGAGGTACCTTGCGGCCCAAAACTATTTCTCCCTTTTTCCTGATTTGGGGGAGGGGGATTTGGTAGCAATGGATCCAACCAAAGGATGTTATTTCCCGAACTCCCTTGCAGCTACATTTGGTATGTGATTAAGTTCTGGTCAGTGACATATAGGCAGATGATTGAGTGGGATATTGAATTATGAGTGGGTGGAGATGAATGGGAGGAGAAAGGGGAGAGAGAGGAGGAAGGCTCCCCTAAAGTGGCTGGCTCAGTACACAGGGGCAGGTTTTTTAATGCCTTCTCCCTTCTGGAACAAAAAATTCCAGCAGCCAACTGGGCCATGGGTAAGAATGGAACCCACCACTAGGATATGAAGCAAAAAGAAAAGGGAGTCCTCAATAAGTTTGTGGGACTGCCACATTTACTCTGGACTGGCTACCTCTGGAATTATTTTACTTGAAAGAATCAATGCTTGTGGTTTTATTTTTGTTTGTTTTTTGTTGTTATGGTTATATTCAGCTCTATCATAAACCTAACTGATTGGGACAAGTAGAAGGGAAAAAATCAATCACAGGACCCAAGATTCAGGCCCTCGATACTCAAAGTGTGGTCCCCGGAAGAGCAGGCTGGATATCACTTGGGGCTTGTTAGTAATACAGAGGCTCAGGCCCCTCCCAAACCTACTGATTCCAGATCCACATTTTAACAAGATCCTGGGTGATTTGTATGCACAGTTTGAGAAGTTTGAGTAGCTCTGACTTAGAATAAATGCCCTTTGGAAAAGCAGACTAAATATCATGAATTTCAATGACCTGCTGGGCAGTGTTCTTATTGCCTAGATGTATATTCTGGGAAAAAAAAACCACACTGAGAAATATGACCTGATTTTGAGGTTAGACATCAGACATACTGTTTTCAAATGACAACTTTCTCAATGGTTCAAAGTGCACTAAAGAAAAACAAGCATAAGTTTATAAAAAGCAAAACAAACAAATATAAAAACCTAAATTTAGGCATTTTAAAGATACGATTCATAATTACGTAGGGTACTTTACACATAATGATAAAGCTGCCAAAATCCAAAACCAATAACCCTTTTGGCTATTTATTACACCAAAGCTTTTTTATTCTCATTTTTAAGTTACTAACCACTAATTCTCTTACAAGTCTGGTTACATTCCCAACTACTCAACTGAAATTTTGTTTGTGTGGGTGGCATTTTGAAAATTAAAATAACACTTCCAATGTATACTTTCAGTCTGGAAAATTTCTCCTCCACTCCCCAAAAGGACACCTAGTTAGTAATTGCAATTCTTTGAATGCCTAAGAAGTTTTTAATCAATTAATTTTATTTAATTTTCAAATAACTTTTCTACAGCAGCATTTTAGATATAATTTACACACAATCGATACCCAGATCTTCACTGTACTAACAGATATTTGACAATGATACTCACCCATGTGACCACCATGAAGGTTGAGGAGGTCCCATCACCCCCAGAAAGTGCCCTCGAGTTTTCATTCCCTGTTTCCACTTGCCACACAGAGGCAGCCACTCCTACAGTCTGGTCTTACTCATATTTGGCCAGAAAATGGAGCCAAAAATGATTTTACGGTTGAAAGCTGATAAGACAGCACTAGGAACCATAAAGCCCCATGTTGCCTGCCTGTGCCCTGAGTGTCTTTTAATCCGTTGTCAAAAGCTAATCTACTGTGTGATGGGAAGGCATGCAGAAAGCCTTGAGCTTTGCTCACTTAGCCTTGTGAGTATTGATACAATTTGCTAAAACACTGGCTATCCGTGAGTGGATCCTTCACCTATTTTCTTTAAGTATGTTTAAATAGGTTTCAAATACGTTTTCTTCTTATGCAAGACACTAGTTTCAAGTAGTTACCTCTTGACCTCTCATTTCTGATACCACAGAGAGCTCAAAAGTAGAGTGATTTGCAGTTGAAAATGCAGTTTACTTTAAAATAAAAAAAAACACTTTTGGTTACGCCAGGAGTTAATATGCTAAGCATTGTTCTTTTTGTCCTAATCCAATCTACTGAATGAAGTATTAGTGCCCGAAGAGGCGCCTCTGAGCGCTCTCCTCCTTCTCGGAATCAATTGACTCAGTCAGTTTTTCAGTAGTTCTCTTTTCCCAGTTTTAGGAGGGAGCCAATGATCATTTACCCAGTCCTTACAAGAAAATTATGAGAAAGGCACCTATAAGTTTTGGTACAGTGAAAATGTAAGCTACCACTAATACTAACAGTTTTACTTACAAACCTAAGCAACCAGTACCAAAGTGTACTACCAAAACAAAATGTATGAGACCGCACACAGAGCAATACCTAGTTACTCTTAACCAACAGGCCCGTATCCTGGACAGCCATTCTATGTATAATTACAGTCCCCGGTGCACCAAAGTTGGAGGGTCAGAGCTCTGTCTTCCGGGGCGTTGCTGCATACTTGGGCGCCAGGTCTCGGATCAGATTCACGTAGTCGGCTTTCTCCGCGCAGGCGCGGCACTCCTCTCCCCAGCTGTACAGTATCTGTTTCAGCTCTGCCACTCTCATCTTCCACAGGTCCACCGATGCTAAGTCTAATTTCTTTTCTAAATGACGAAAAGGAAACACACAACTCTTTAAAAACAGCAACTCTGAAACACTGATAAAGGCAAATGGTGTTACTTAATCTGGGGGCTGAGAACAGTTCCATTTTCTATGGAAACCAAGACATACCTAAGGAAAGTGTATAGACACAAAGCTATTAGGACAAATGGTGTTCTATCAGACTTTCTCGCCTCGGGATTATACGTGCTTCAAAACACAAGGGTCGAAGCCGGGTAGCTTTGCAGTATCTGCTACCATGGCTTCACATGATGAGCATTACTGAAATGAAGAAGAGCAGCCTTCTAAAAGCCGCTCCTAAGGTAAAAAGGAGCATGATTGGTAAAAAGAAATGCCTTGGGACAGCCTTGTGTGCGGCCAACAGAAATCCATAGATTATAATTAACTAGAAAGTTATGGCTCACTTTTTATATACAAAGACATGTCTTCAATAAAACAGCTAAGCATATATATTACACTGCATCGAGTCTTTAAATATAAATTTGAAGAAACCAAACAGGTGAATATAATTAGGAGTATTCTTATTGATCCTTATTGGGTTTGGATCTCTGTTTAAATTCACCTGATCCCCATCCCTGCGGGGATTACTGATTTACTACAGCATTCGCTGTGGTCCTTTGGGGTGCACCCAATTCTCTAATGCCAGCACTTCAGCCCCAGTCAATCTGGCTTCTACTATTCTTGCCAGTTACACTTGTCTCCGACTTTTAACTCCTTTACCAAGACCACTGTTTTTCCATTTACAAATTGTCTGCAGAGAATGTCAAGAACTCAACTACTTCTCTGTTGTCCAGCCCCCAAACAACAACAACAACAATTAATCTGTACTATACTTATGATTATAATTTCCCTATCAAAAGGGGTAGTTTTCCTTAAATTTATATAATGTTTTAAGTCAGTTTAACCCAATAAATCTAGAAAACAATGAATAAAAGTTGGATTTTAAAGCCTTGTTTATTTGGAGGATCAGCTACCCTTACATTTTTTATAGTGATATCCACCCTCTTAAGATACAGAAGAAGCAAAAAAAAATTTTCAGGTCAAAAAAACAAAAGACAACTTCCTCATTGAAAACATAATCCAACTCTATACTTATCTTGATGTTAATTTCATGACTGACTTAACAGAATACCTCTAAAAGTAGAAGCATTTATAGTCCAGATTATTATTATCCCACAGTTCAAAGACCCCTGGTCAATCTCAGGTTTCTTGCCAACAATAAGCAGGAAACAAAACATTGGGCCTAGTGGTCTATTCAAAATAAAGTTGAGTGAGAAATATACTTCATTGCAGTGTCAGTAGTTTCTTTGAGCTTTTCTAAACAATTTAGAATCTGTCATTAATTTTAAAAAGGGGAAACCTCTGTGACCCCCTAAAACTACATGGAAAAGATTGATACCAAAATTAAAACTAGTTCGTGGCTCCCCAAGGGCCTCTAGTGGCCAGCATTGTCCAAACACTAGTAAATATTCATTTATTAATAATATCCGATGAATATTTCTATTATCAAGGAACCCAGTAAGTTCTCTTGCGCATGATAGAAGACATTCTAAATAACTTTGTTGAACTAAAGAATCAGCACAGGTTTTTCCCTTTTAAGAATATTGTTTATATGGCCTCAGCGATTCCTGCCTCGCCTGCATTGCTTGGAAGCCAATAAAAAGGGATGCCTGTCCCTTAATCACTACCTTGGAAGCTGGGGCCTGCCCCTGGCAAGTTGAGAAGCAGGTTGTTTTGAGTATCTTCCAAACTTAAATCTATTTAAGGCCGGTTATGTAATGATGGTGCATAACAATTTTACACAGCTATGTTAGAAAATAAGATTAAAATAATTCAGTCTGGGTACTAATTAGGTAGTTTACAATACTACAGTGGATTTGAGTATGTAACATAAAACAATTACTTGAGCAAAAGAAATGGGTCTGTACTGGTGGAACTTCAGGTGTTAAGGATAAGCTAAGAAAGGAACTGCCGCCTGCCCCCACCAAAAGCCTTTAAGTCTACCCAAGCCTACCCAGTCTACCCAAAAGGCTGGCCCAGATAGAAATCCTCAGTACAAAAATAATAAATTTATCTATGTGAAACATATAAGGCCAAGGGTAATGATTTAAGTAGGACATCTTTCCCGGCTGTTTATTTTAGGTACCCTCAAAAAGGTTATTTCATCAGGCAAAACCTGATTTGCTACAAATAACCTATTTCCTAAAATTTAAAGCTGGCAGGCAAAATAATAGACAGACAAATCTAGGGGAAAAGATACAGACACACTTAAAACTTCTGAGTCCTGGTATCACCTTTGAATAAATGCTACTTCTTTCAGTGGGTTACCAAGAGCTAAATCCCCGTGAGTAGTTGTTCCCTTGATACTTTGAATTCTCCTTGATGTACACAGTTGACACTGTCTTGGTGACTTAAGAGTTTAAACTTTCCTATTTGGGATGACAGTTTTACCTAAAGTTGACTGTGCCAGTGTTCATTTCTCTCAGCCCCCAAAAGGCCAGACGGCATTAAGCACCATTCAGCAGCCCAACAACCTAGTGGCAAGTGGAGAATTCCTTCCCTTCCAACACTGACTTTCTAGAAACATAGCCTGTTTTGAGAATTGGCACTACTTTGGACATTATGGAAAAAAAGACATGGGACTCCATTATACCATATTTCAGCTCACAGATTTGGCTGTCCATCTTCCTGAGCTTCTCGCAGATCTTCACTGCAGGCATGTGCACACTCATTGGGCGGGTGACCTCGCTTAGGATCTTGGTGGCTGCATCTTTGGTTGCTCCTAGGTAGTAGCACTGAAGGAGAATGAAGAGAATGTAGTAGCTCAGACACTGAGAAAAGCAAGTCATATGGTTTTGAGAAGTAAGAAAGAGGTTAACCTAGTTTTCATGGGCCAGCTCTTAAATTTTAAGCACAGCTCACACACCAGGAAACAAGTGCCTCCATTCCCATAAGCATCCTAATTAGAAGTTCCCAACAGTTCATATGATTTTCCAAGGCTTGCTGAGTGTTCCCTGTGCCAAGCACTGCTCCCAGGGTTTAACTGGTCCTAACTTATTATCATAGCAATCCTGTGAAGTCAGTACTATTACATACCCATTTTATACCCAAGCCAACTGCAGGCCACCAGCTAGCAAGGAGGAGAGATTGAGTTTTATTTCATTTTATTTTTTTAAACTTTCTTTTTACTGTTGATGCTATTACAGAAGTCCCCAGTATACTTTACCCACCTCCACCTAACCCCCACCTGCTTTCCCTCTTGCTCTCACTACACTGTTGTCTGTGTCTGTGTGTTATGTCCAATATATATGCTTCTTTGACTAATCCCTTCATCTTCTTTCATCCAGCCTCATTACCCACCTCTTCACTGATACTGTCAGTCTGTTCCACGTGTCCATGACTCTGTTCTATTTTGTTCAGAAGCATCTTTTGTTCATTAGATTCCACATGTAAGTGAAATCATATGGTATCTGTCTTTCTCTAACTGGCTTATTTCACTTAGTGTAATACTCTTCAGTTCCATCCATACTATCACGAAAGGTAAGATTTCCTTCCTTTTTTTACAGCCATGTAGTATTCCACTGTGTAAATGAACCACAGCTTTTTTATCCACTCATCTACTGATGGGCACTTGAGCTGGTTCCAGATCTTGGCTATTGTAAATAAGGCTGCAATGAACAGAAGGGTGCATATACTCTTTCAGATTAGTGTTTCAAGATTCTTAAGATATATTTCCAGAAGTGGGACCACTGTGTCAAAACACAGTTCCAGCCCTGACTGATGTGACTGAGTTGGTTGAGCATTATCCTGAATAAGAAAAGGTCACCAGTTCAATTACAGGTCAGAGCACATACCCACGTTGTGGGTGTGGTCCCTGGTCTGTGTGTGTACATGTACGAGAGAGAACCAATCAATGTTTCTCTCATACATCAATGTTTCCCTCCTTCCCTTCCTCCCCTCTAAAAATAAATAAATAAAATATTTTTTTACTGTTGTTCAATTACAGTTGTCCCAAGTCTTCCCCATTGCTTTCCCCTACTCCATCTATTCCCCCTCCCCTGCTCCCACAGTCAGTCCCCACCCCCGACCCATGTTTTTGGGTTCCTAATGTGGTGCTCCTTGACTTGACCCTTCCCTTCTTTCCCCTGTTACTCCTTCCCCCTCCCCTTTGTTCACTGTCAGTTTGCTCTTTATTTTCATGTCTGGTTCTATTTTGCTTCCTTGTTTGTTTTGTTGATTAGTTCCACTTGTAGGTGAGATCATATAATATTCATCTTTCAGCTAGCCTATGTCTTTCGATTGGAGCACTTAATCTGTTCATATTTTAGGTTATTATTGATAGCCTATTTATTTATTTATTGCCATTTTTTCTTTATACCTAGGTTCCTCTCACTTTCTATTTCTTCTTTTTAAAGCAGGCCTTTTAATGTTTCTTGCAATACTGGTTTGGCAATGATAAGTTCTATAAGCCTTTTGGGGGGGGTGCTGTCTGGGAAGGTCTGTATTTCACCTTCAGTTTTAAATGATACCCTTGCTGGATTAAATAGTCTTGGTCGTAGGTCCTTGCTTTTCACTTTGAATATTTCATGCCAACCTCTTCTGGTCTGAAGCGTTTCTGTTGAGAATTCAGCTGACAGCCTTACGGGAACTCTCTTTTGGGTAACTGTCTCTCTCTTACTGCATTTAAGATTCTCTCTTCATCTTTAACTTCTGTCATGTTAATTATAATGTGTCTTGGTGTGGATCTCTTTAAATTCCTCTTGATCAGGACTCTCTGTGCTTTCTGAATTTGTGCGTTTTTTTCCTTCACCAATTTAGGAAAAATTTTAGCCCTTATTTTTTCAACTATGTTATTGGTCCCTGTTCTCTTTTCTCCTTCTGGTACCTCTATGATGCAGACATTGTTACACTTGATGATGTCCCAGAGGTCTCTTAGACTCGCCTCATTTTTTTACATTTTCTTTTCTTTTTGATGCATAGCTTGGGTGCTTACTCTCAGTTTGTGCTCTAAATTGCTGATTCAGTCCTCTGCTTCACCTAACCCCCTGTTGATTTCTTCCAGTGTATTCTTAATTTCAGATATTGTATTCTTCATTTCTGACTGGTTCTTTTTTTATAGTTTCTATGTCCTTTTTAATGTTTACTGCCTCCATAAGTTCTCACTGAGATCATCCATTTTTTCCCCTAAGGTTTTTGAGCATCCTTATAACAATTGTTTTAAACTCTGCATCTGGAATATTAGTTGTTTCCATTTCATTTAATTCTTTTTCCGGGGATTCCTCTTGTTCTTTCATTTGGGGCATGTTTTTTTTTTGTCTCCCTATTTTATTTCTGTGTGTTAGGTAAATGTACTCTAACTCCCAAATCTGTTGTGATGGCTTTATGATGAAGGTGGCTCGACAGCCTCAGTGGCACACTCTTCCAAATCACCTGAACTCTGCTCCAGGAAGGTTTCTTGTGAGTTATGTGCACCCTATTGGAGTTGAGTCTTGAATGCTGTTGGCCTTTTCATGGGTGGAGTTAACCCTTCAGGCTGGCTGACTGTAAGGGTAAACCTTGGTCACCATGTAGGAGATGCCATGCAGGCAGAATTGTTCCCAGTAGGGTTTGGTGCCTGCGGGAATCCCCCTTTGGGTGTGCTGCTAGTGTGGTTAGTCGTGTTGAGCTCTGGTGTGATCTGAGGACCACCACTGCTTGTGTTGGTTCTGGGTCCATTTATTCAGGGTTCAGATACTGGTTGATGTTAGACATTGTGTCTAACTGACCTTGGGCTACCTGTCTGGAGCTATCATGCTGTTCACTGTTTTGGCTGCTTTTACTAGGCCTGGGTGTGCGAGGGAGGGGCCAATCTGTGTTTTAGGGCTGGCTTCCTCCAGCGAAGAGCTGAGGGCAGAAGGAGATTGAATTTTAAGAAATCTAACATTTTGGCTCTATAGTTCAGGCCACTTTTAATGTTATACTGCTTTTCAAGCCACCCAACTTAATCATTTTATATTTACCAATATAAAACTTAATGGTACAAATAAATGCTGAGATTTTTACCATGTGCCAGTGGTGAGATGCCTACAGTGCAAACTGAACTAAAAAGTTAAGCATACAATTTTAGGCAAAACAAATTGGCCTAAGACTATTTTTCATGATATAAACCAGTATATTGACAAAGTCATTTGTGTATATCCAGGAAACACTACATAAACATCATTACAAGAAAATATGAATACTTCATGGTTATATATAAACAAGGATATAAAATATTTTGAAAGCTTTAACTAATTGTCTTGGTAAGAAATAGAAAGTCTTCCCATTTTTAACTCAGAACAATAAATTCTCAATTAGACATTCAATTGTATAATTTTATTTAACAAAATATGAGCTTGATTTTTCTGTGGTTTATTCCAAAAGCAAAATGAAAACTGATGTATTCTAGATTAAAATTCATATGACTGCATTTTGTTGAATGAAAAGTTCCTACTTGCTCTTTACAGTGAACATGCCTGGGGCCAGCATCTAAGCAGGAGAACAGTAAGCCTAAGATCAGAAATAATAGTGTTAGCATTTTCCTTCAAGCCTCAGGGAAAAATGAAATGTGAAGATTTACCATACCAGGCGGTTTTCTTTTCCTTTGACGCCCAAGCAAAAGCTGATCAATTCTTTTTCTATGGTGTCCAAAGAAAAATTAATTCCTCTGGCTATCAATGAGTTGTAGAACCGGTTCAAGAATTCTTCACATACTAGAAGGAATAAAGAAATTACATATTTATGTACAAGACAACCACTAACACACCTCTGTATATGTCCTACTCATCCAATAAAAAGTATAACTATGATTTAACACATCATGACAGTGAATCAAAAATATTTGGAAGAATGATTTAGGGCCTGTAGCTATTAGCTTAGGATTGGACTTTGAATAACATGAGTTTATAGAATCGATCAATCAATCTCTGGAACCAAGTTCCACCTAAATCAAGAACATTCCTACAAAATTTGGCTAGCCCTAAAGAAAATACAGCTTTTTATAGGGTGTGATGATTGGGACATGTTTTTGTTTTGTTTTGTTTTTATATTCAATACTATTTTGAATAAGTTTCAGGTGTACAGCATATGACTAGATGATCACATAATTTACAAAGTGGTCCCCTTGATATTTCAAGTATCCACCTAGGACCATACATAGCTATTACAATATTATTGATTACATTTCCTATGCTGTACTTGACATCCTTATTACTATTTTTAACTACCAATTTGCAGTTCTTAATACCTTCACCTTTAAAAAAAACCAGACCTGCAGCTCCCCTCCCCCAAAGAAACCATCACTGTGTTCTCTGTACCTATGAGTCTGTTTCTGTTTTGTTTGTTCATTTCTTTTGTTCATTAAATTCTGCATATAAGTGAGATCATATGGTATTTGTCTTTTTCTGACTTATTTCACTTAGCATAATACCCTCTAGGTCCTTTACGCCCATGCATAAAGGATCCATGCTGTTGCAAATAGTAAGATTTCATTCATTTTAATGGCAGAGTATAATAATTCCATTGTATTATGTACCACCACTTTTTAATCCACTCATGTATCAGTGGCCACTTGAGTTGCTCTCATATTCTGGGTATTGTAAATAATGCTGCAATGAACATAGGGGTGCATATATTCTCTCAAATTAGTGTTTTAGGTTTCTTCAGATATATACTCAGAAGTGGAATTGCTAAGTCATAAAGCAGATCCATTTTTAATTTCTTAAGGAGTCTCCATACTTTTTTCCACAGTGACTGCACCAGTCTACATTCCCACCAAGAGAGCACGAGGGTTCCCTTTTCTCCACATCCTCTCCAACACTTGCTGCTTATTGATTTATTGATGATAGTCATTCTGACAGAATCAGGTAATATCTCAATGTGGGATAGTTAGCATTTCTCTGATGGTTAGAAATGTTGAGCATCTTTTCATATGTCTATTGGCCACCTGTATGTCCTCTTTGGAGAAGTGTCTACTCAGGTCCTCTGCCCATTTTTTAATTGAATTGCTTGTTTTTCTGCTGTTGAGTTATATGAGCTGTTTATAAATTTTGAATATTAACCTATTATCAGATGTATCATTGGAAAATGTGTTCTCCTATTTGGTAGACTGGCTTTTCCTTTTGTCAGTGGTTTCCTTTGCTATGCAAAAACTTTTTAGTTTGATGTAGTCCCATTTGTTTATTTTGTTTGTTTGTTGCCTTTGCCTGAGGAGATATATCAAAAGAAATATTGCTAAGAGAGGTGTCAGAGAATTTACTGCCTATTTTCTTCTAGGAGTTTTATGCCTTCAAGTCTTACATTTAAGTCTTTAACCCATTTTGAGTTTATTCTTATACACGGTGTAAGTAGGTCATCTAGTTTCATTTAATTGCACGTTTCTGTCCAATTTTCCTAACACCATTTGTTGAATAGACTCTTTACCCCATTGAATATTCCTGACTCCTTTGTTGATCATATAGGCATGGGCTTATTTCTGGGCTCTCTATTCTTTTCCATTAATCTATTTGTCTGTTTTTATGCCAGGACCATACTCATTTGACTGCTGTGGCCTTGTAGTATAATTTGATATCAGGTGGCATGATTCCTCCAACTTTGTCCTTCTTTCTCAAGATTGCTGTTTCTATACAAAGTCTTTTGTGGTTCCAAATAAATTTTTAAAAATATTTGTTCTAGATCTGTGAACTATGAAAGGGCACCCAAAACCCCCTTAGATTTATTTATAAAAATATGTGTATTTGTTATTACGTATTTAAACATCAGTCAACTTCAAAATATTCTCCATTTAATTCAATATACCTATTGAGATCTTTGTTCCACTGCTCAAAACAGTTTTGAATGTGTCAATTTTGATACCTTTTAGTGCTTCTGACATTTTTGTTTCACCTCTTCCACAACATTTCTCTTTGATAACTTTTTTCATCAGGGAAACAAAAATAGTCGCTCAGGGTGAGATCAGGTGAATAGAGACAGTAGGGCACAGGGGTCATGCCACTTTTGGTCAAAAACTGCTGAACACTCAGTGCAGTGTGGGCAGGTGCACTCGTAATCACCCCTTATGAAATGGGCAAAAGCATTGAAAGAATGTTTTAAAAAAATTCACTGAAACCAAATGCAGCCTCTCGCAACAAGCCCAGTTGGTACACTGATACAGATGAGTTCCTAGAACACTCATCTAGTGGAGGGAGCCTGTACTACAAGGGGCCTACCCTCTAGAAGATAATTCCAGTTTGGAGGGATACCCCCTTGTATATAATTGGTATTTTAATAGGCATTGCATTGAACCTATCTATAGATTGCTTTGGGTAGTATAGACATTTTAACAATGTTAATTCTTCTTATGCATGAACACAGTACCTGCTTCCATTTATTTGTATCTTCTTCAATTTCTTTCTTCAATGTTTTATAACTTTCCATGTACAAGTTTTTCACCTCCTTGGTTTAATTTATTCCTAGGTATTTTATTTTTTTGATGCAATCATAAATCGAACTTTTTTTAGTTTCCTTTTCTGATAGTTTATGATTGGTTTATAAAAATGCAACCAATCTCTGGATATTTATTTTGTATCTGGCTACTTTGCTTAATTCATATATCATTTTTAGTACTTTTTTGGTGGAATTTTTAGGATGCTCTATATACAGTACAAGTCATCTGCAAATAATAACAGTTTTACTTCTTTCTTTCCAATTTGAATGCCTTTTATTTCTTCTTGTCATCTCAGTGCTGTGGCTAAGACTTTCAGTACTATGTTAAATAAGAGTGATGAACTTGGACATCCCTGAATTGTGCCTGATCATAAGGGAAATGCTTTTAGTTTTTCCTCATTGAATGTAATGCTAGCTGTGAATTTTTTCATATATGGCCATTCTTATGTTGAGATATATTCCCTCTACTCCCACTTTGCTGAGAGTTTTTATCGTAAATGGGTATTTTTCTGAATCAATTCATATGATCATATTATTTTTATCTTTATTTTGTTTATGTGGCATATCATGTAAATTAACTTGTAGATATTGTACACACTTTGTATCCTAGTAATAAATCCCACTCGATTATGGTGTATGATTTTTTTGTATGTATGTATTGCTAGATTCAGTTTGCTAATATTTTGTTGAGGAGTTTTACATCTGTGTTCATCAGGGATATTAGCCTATAACTTTCTTTCTTTGTAGTGTCTTTACCTGGTTTTGGAATTAGGATATCACTGACCTCAAAAATGAGCTTGGGAGTGTTCCCTCCTCTTGAATTTTTTTAATAGTTTGAGGATAGGTGTTAGTTCTTCTGTGAACATTTGGTAAAATTCACCTGTGAAGACATTCATTTCAGGACTTTTGTTTGTTGGAAGTTTTTAGGTTACTGCTTCAGTTTCACTAGTTGTAATTGATCTAGTCAGACTTACTGTTTCCTCTTGATTTAGTTTTGGGAGATTGTATGTTTCTAGGAATTTATCCATTTCTCCCGAATTGTCCAATATGTTGGCATATAGTTGTTTATAATGTTTTCTTACAATCCTTTGTATTTCTGTGGTGTCAGTTGTTACTTTCCTTCTTTTATTTCTCACTTTATTTATTTTGGTCCTTTTTTTTTTCTCTTGTGAGTCTGGTTAAAGTTTATCGATCTTGTTTATCTTTTCAAAAAATAAGCTCTTGGTTTCATTGATCTTCTGTGTTGTTTTTTTAAGACTGTTTTTTCGATTTCTGCTCTGATCTTTATTATTTCCTTTCTTCTACTCACTTTTGGCTGTGTTGTTTATCTAGTTCCTTTATGTGCAAGGTAAAGAAAAATGAGATTTTTCTTGTTTCTTGACTTAGGCCTGTAATGCTATGAATATTTTCAGGACTGCCTTTGCTACATTCCACAGATTTTGGTTTGATGTGTTCTCATTTTCATTTGATTTGAGGTATCTTTTGATTTATTCCTTAATTTCACTGTTAACTCATGTTTAGTAATATGTTATGGAGCCTCCATGTCTTTGTGCACCTTTCAGGTTTTTCTCTTGTGATAGATTCCTACTTTCACACCAGTGTGGTCAGAGAAGATGCTTGATATGATTTTAATCTTTTTTAAATTTATTAAGACTTGCTTCGTGTCCTAACATGTGGACTATCCTAGAAAAAAATTCCATGTGCACTTAAAAAGTATGCATATTCTGCTGCTTTGGGGTGAAATGCTCTGAAGATATCAATTAAATCCATCTGGTATAGTATGTCATTTTAGGCTGCTGTTTCTTTGCTGATTTTCTGTCTGGAAGATCTAGCCATTGATGTCAATGGGGTATAAATGTCCCTCATTATTACACTCAAGGGACATTTAATTTGAAGCATGGAAGAAAACCTGAATATGCATTTTGAATGAAGCCCCTTCTTTCAAAGGTGGTCTGCATCTGTTTATATGTTCCATCAGCATGAGCCTGACATTAAACCCCAAAATGAACAATTGTATTTGATCCCAGGGTAAAGAGCCAGTGAATAAATGAGGCTCATGAGAGACAAGGGCAACAACAGCCATGTGTTGGGTGTTTACTGGTGCCGGAACTGTTCCAGGCTCCTTCTGTTCTAAGCTCATTCTGGGATTCATTGAAGTCTCAAAATGTATGATGTAGATACATTACCATCCTCATCTTATAGACGAAGAAATGAGCCAAGGAAAGGCCAATTAACTTGCCCAATAAGTGGTAGAGAGGAAATAAGAATCCGGGTGGTGCGACTCTGGGCC